ATCTGACACTCTACTTTTGGTATCTATTTAGCTATAGTTTGGTAAAAAAAGTTTATGAAACTTATACCTGCTTGTGATAAATACTATAGTACCATATAAGACCTGCCAAAAATGGACAAGCTCACAAAACACCAAGCCTGCCACATATTCCTTGGGAACATTCCCTCAAGATCACCGCATTCTAATGTTAGCAGAGATAATGTAAGTGGTTACAGATATTTGCCTTGTTTTCCTACCTGACACATCCTAGTAATGAAAATAACCAAACTATGCTTTCCCTGAAGATAACATGAATCTGCTGACCAAGGTGACTGTCAACCCGCTTTATTAATGCTTGAGCTGGAAAACAAGAAGGGTACTCATCTACCAGCTGCTCATCCTGTAAAAATCACCTAAAAGTTCTTGGATTTGCAATATCTGCTTTCCTAAAGGTCAACACTATTGAGGTAGAAATAGCTTGCATCATAAAGAATACTGAACCTGAACTGCATAACTACTGGACAGGACAGACATAAAACAAAACAAGAACAAACAAATAAGGATCTTCATTTCCCCCAATTTGGTTTAGGTAAAGCCTGATTTTTGTCTTAGAAAACTTTCTGATAAACATTTCAACCCTAAGTGTAATTTGTTAACACTTTCAATTACAGCAGTGTTAAATTTGTAATGTTTTTTCATTTAGCATTTTATAATTTTATTTAATACTAACTTTAAAGATCATGAGCAATTTTGCTAAGGCAAGATCATAATAATATCAGCCTATGGTTTAAAGATTTTCCAATGTTACTTTAAAATTTATGGTAATATTTTATTTGATTTTGACCAGACCAAATAACTTTTACCCACCTGACCATAGTATTATCCCCGTATCATTAGCCATATTTTTATAGCCACATTTTGGATAAATTTCCTGAACTATTTGCCTATAACAATATTAAGATATCAATATTAAATGAACATATCTTTACCATTGGAAAATGCCTAGATTTATATTTTTTTAATTTTCCACATACCAGTTTATGTTTTGATTCAAGAGGCTTTGGGGGAAGTAATGCTTCATGTTTCTTGTGGGAAAATATAGCTATGTGTAAATAGAGTCTGATTCTTTTATGTTTTTCTAGGTGTACATAGATAATTGTTTATACTTTCCAGACTATGACTCATTATGTAATTATATAACTTAAGATGATAATTCAATATTCTGGAATATATATATATATATATATGGAATCACTTAGTATAATGTTAAAGGGAATAAGTTTCAAAATACAGTATACAGCACAGTATCATTTTAGAAAGTTCAAAGTAAGCAAGACTAAGCAATACATTATATAGATAAAGAGATATAGATATAGATATAGATAGACATAGACATATCCATGATTGTTGTAACCTTACTGTGGAGTAAGCATGAAAATGATATCAGGGATTATAACATACAGGATAGCTATAAACTAATTGGACACACGAATACACACACATATACATGTACGTGTTTCATAATGAATATTATTTAATTTTTAAGTGCAAGAAAATGAGAAGATTTAGATTATTTAGGAACAGATTGATAACAGAAGTATGAGAATTCCTCTCTTAGATGGGAAAACATTACTTTAAAACTTTGGAACATTGTGTATTTTGACTTGCACTTTTCATTATATTATTTAACTATTAGCAAATATTTAGTGATTTTTCCTAGGACTCTTAGTTGCCAAATGAATCATCTTTTCTTTTTTTATGAGCAGAATATATTTATTGAGAGAAAGAAAGCTCCTGTCCCGAGAGAGGGACAGGAGGGGGGCCCGAGCAGGTAGTTCCCCCGAATCATCTTTTCTAATAATGTTTTATGTATGCATTTTATTTAAGCCTGAATGACATTAGAATGATAATACTAGTTTTACTTAATCAGTGAGAAAAAGAAGATCTCAAATTATCCTGCTCATATTTGTGCTGGTGATCTGTAGTCATATTTTTTTTTAATCACTGAATGCATTATTTCTAGCAGAATATTTCTGGTATTATTTTTTTCTTTCTTTTGTGGAACCGGGGATTGAACTCAGGCCCTTGTGCTTGCCAGGGAAGTGCTTATTCCACTGAGCCATCTCCCCGGCCCCTGGAATTATTTTTTTCAACAAAGACTAGGTAAAAGTAGAATTTTAACTTGAAACATGCATTTTTAAATCAGCAAAGTTATAGTTATATAACTTAAGATAATTCAATATTCTGGAAAATATATTTATATTTTAAAATGGAATCCCTTAGCATAATCAATTTAATTAATGGAAATTAATTAAATTTTAATGGAAATTTAATCAATTTTCATTAAATTATGTTGAAAAAATTATCTCCTTTTTAGCAAATCAATAATGTAGAAAGCAAGAACTTTAATTACCAAAGTTTAGAGAACAGTAACATCTAAATACCACATTCTGTTTTGAATAAAATAAGAAAAACACCTTATCATTTTCAGCAAGCTAGAATCTAGGAATGAAATAAGTATGATTCATATGAAAATTTTTGGTTTTATAAGGCATTACCAAATCATTTTTTCATATTTAAGGAGGTGGGATATTTAGCTCACTGGAATGTATTCTGAAATATATTTTTTCCTTATGGGGTTCTAGAAGAACCAATGCTAGCAAGACAGACAGGCAAGCTGTCTAGTTTTAGCTGACAGGTCAGCCCTTTTCACTGTTATTTTTGTATGTTTGTCTTTAAGCAACAAGAAAATTTCTCTTGAGGATTTCAGGCATGAAGGAGAAACAAAATGTACAAGTTTTCTAAATTTAACTCAGAAGAGCTGGGGAGATAGGTCAGTGGCCTGAGCACCTGCCTGGTAAGTGCCAGGTCCTGAATTTGAGCCCTGGTTAAAGAAAGAAAGAAAGAAAGAAAGAGAGAGAGAGAGAGAGAGAGAGAGAGAGAGAGAGAGAGAG